TCTACAAGAATCTCAAATTAAATTTTTATGAACGTTTGAAATTCATATTTTTACAACATTTGATATTCACTCGATTTCTCATGTAACGATTTTCTAATTTTGTTGTAATTAAAAAACGAATGACTGTAGATACTTGAAAATTTTACTAAATTTTTATATTAGCATTTCCTATACACCATATAGTTTTCAAAATATTTTGATTCTTTTTGAGCTATTTACGGACATTTTCAGTTTTGAATTTATTGAATTTTTTTTTCTGTTCATATCAATAAAATTTTATTTGTATGGTAAAAAAGCTTGAAAATTTAATGCAAAGCTCCTGATATATTGTTACAATAACACTTGAAAAATATTAAAAATATATAGGCACAATTTTTTTTTATAATTATTTAAAATTCAAATTTTGACAATATTTATCACATTTAAAATTTAATAATAATTTTATAGTTAAAAATTTATAAAATGTTCAACTTTTATAGCTAATGATTGAAAATTTAAAACAAGATTCTACGTAAATAGGTTATATATAAATTGCTTTATTCACCTTAGTATCATCAAATATACTTAGTAATATCTTAGGCTGACTAACCGTCTTCGCTCAGAATCGTTTTTCTTATACAATGATGTTATCATTGAATTCAAATTTAATACCATCGATTATACAGTGACCTACTTGTACCCTACTGTACAGCAGAGCACCTTTTTTTGTTTATCAAACTTAAATAACTTTTATTTTCGTTTTGATATCGGAAATATAAAAACAAAGTTACAGAGTAAATTTTCTCATTTTTATAGTGTGAACATTTAGTTTCTTAGCTTAGAGTAGAGACTGAATGTTTTTTATACCCGTGCAAAACAGTTTTGCCTATGTTGTACCTACGTCTGTAATACGGAGACAACACATGTGGGTGTACCTAGCGTCTTCTTTACAATCATACAGACTATTTGATACATTGCACTTTAGAAATTATTGTATACACTACACAAATAAAATCTAATGCAATGCAGAAATATTAGTATTAGGGGGGTGTGGGGGGCAAAGCCCCCCACGGATCTGTGAACCAAAAATTATCCCAGCACCCCCTAAATTCACACCCTATGTGCGCCTATGCTTCCAATACCATTCAATACACAGAAGGTAGAAAAACTCAATAGAAAATATGTTTAACACACATAACAGCACAGAATGTCATAAAAATAAAGTTTTTTTCGAAGATAATTTTATCAGTTACGATGTTGGACAAAAAATGTATTCTGCACTTGTTAATCAAATTACCTTACCGTTACCGAGATGGCGAGATGTATTATTATGTTATAAACATTTTTTTATATTACGAAAATATATGTTTGGGTTGTAACACGTAAGGACTTAAATAGTGTAAATCGAAAAACGCGCATATTATTATACGCACATGGCTATGAAACGGACTTATAATTTTTTTACTGTTTACTCGTCAGTAAAAAAAGCGCATCATAGGTACACCCATACAAGAGACGGTTTAAAGTGCAAAGATATATACTCTGTTCAAAATAAGAACAGTAGTCGGCGGTGACGAGTTTTCGTCAGGCGGCGGTCGGGCGGTCAGACTTCATAATATGATCAGACGCCGTCCCCACAACGGCCATACGATAGAACTCAAATAAAACTAAATGTCTAAATAGGTAGTATGATGATATTGTATTTTTTAAAAATGTAATACGAAATTCGTAACGAAAAACGTATATAATATTTGGTATTTTTTGAAAATCTGCCACCACTTGTCCCCTCAAATCACCTTAAAATTTCCCTCCACCACGTTAAATGCGGCCCTGAGCACATTTATATTTAGGTATCGTCACTAATTCATTATTTACCATTTATACTCGTAATTTATTCACATCATTACAGCAACATTTTTGGTTCCTGATTGGTCGCTGAAAATTACTCCCGTCCTGTCGTTATAATATTGATCAAAATCGAACCACTGGGCACTGATAGGTACTGAATATTGAATACCTACTTTATACTGATTCGTGATCACTGATGAATGATCAGTCTTTCGCCATTTGAAAACCGTCATAATATTTGATAATTAAATAATCATATAATATTATATTTAGGTACATCGTACATTACGTTATTGAGTTATTATTCGTCTGCGTTTAATTCGGTTTTGATTTGTTCATCACGTTTTGTGTGCAATTTATTACAGTTTCAATTGTTTTTTTAAGTTAATTATTACTTTTGAGTTTTGAATTAATTTTAGCTTAATATATTATAACAGCTCTGGAATATGTAAAACTGTAAACGAGATAAGATTTATTGTAGTTTTGAAAGGATTATATCTTTTTTTTCTAATTATCCGAAAAAATATAAGACAATCTGGAAATGCTTAAGCTATTATAATTTAAAAAGTGGGTATTGTGGTTCGATTGCATGAAATCGGACGTGCTTTTCTTTGTATTTTTATACAGTTGTGCAGTAGCCTATCCAGGATTTTTTCAATTTTTAATAGACATTCAGAATACACATACACATATTATATTCATTTTATTATATACATGTCGTATTGTATACAAAATTTGGTCTCGGGGGGGGGGCAATGGGGCATATGACCACCAAATCCCCTTCCCCGTAGATACGCCATTGTAGTTGTGTTATTTTCAAGGTCCAAGGTCTTATATAAAATACAGAGTTACAATAATCAAATTTTGGAGTATACAAATAGTGTATCAATATGTATTATTAAATTAGTAGGTATTGTATACCTATTACCTACAGGCTACAGTATATTTTTGGTAGTTGGTACAATGTAACCTAATTATTATTAACATGCAAACTTATAAGTTATAACTTATATAAGTCAATACTGAAGTGGCGACGTAAAACACTAAAACGATTCACACGCCACTCCATCTGTGGTGTAAAATGTATACAAAACACAACACATTACAAAATTTGACTAAATATTTTAATAATTTAATTGTGTATTGAAAATAATAACATTTTTGTACATAGAATTGTAATTTTTTGAATTTTTTAATACAATCTATTGTTAAATAATAAATTTCAAAATGTTTCGTTATGTTCATGATTTGATGAATTCTGTCATAATTTTAATTTTAAATGCACTTAATAAAAATGCACTTTGTATTTTCAAAATTGTTTAGCTATTGCAAGAAAGACCTGCGATGAACATTGTTTATACAATTTTCAGTTTTAATTTATAAATAAAAATATAATCGAAATCAATCGGAAAAAACTAAAAACAAGTTTACGTCAGATACGATTACACAAACAATGTAACAATAAATCTGTCACTCGCATGAGTGGTATGACAATTGATAAATAATTTATTAGTAGGCACTAGGCCATATCAGTAAAAAATGTTTATCGGTATTTTTGTTTTCGAGGCAATCGTTGTCGGACAATAATATTTTTTTACTTAGATTTTATTAATAGTTCCGTATCGCTCTTGTACAACACTAATTCTACTACAACAATATGGAATATCCCTAATAATACAACGGTACTGCCGCAGGGCCTGATTAACCAATAGGCTAAGTAGGCTACAGCCTAGGGCGCCAATCGGTCAACGTTAAATTGGGGGCGCCACAAAATTTTTTTTGACGAATGTAGAACTTTTGCATAATATATACTTTAAAAAAAAAAAAGGTGGGTAAGTGGGATGTCGCTCTGCTGTCAGTAGTTACAAGTGGGTCCTGTAATAGAGCCTATTAAATTTGAATGCAATGATACAAATCATTGTATAAGAAAACGTTCTGAGCAAGACGGTATTCAGTCAGTTGGAAGACAATTATATACATTGCTATGGTATTAAAACAAAATTGACCTATAATAAATCCAAATGAATCAGAAATCACATTATCACAAGATCATTAGTTGACTTATAACACTGTTATACATCAGCCCACATCAATAAGCAACCCCTGATACTATCATAGATATATAATATTATACTTTAGAAGTTTCAAAGTAGGTACCGCACGATAAATGTATATAATCAACAACAAAATAACCTATTTTTTTAATAATGTAATTCTTGCCAAATTTGAACATAAAATTACTATAAAATAACACTGTGATTGTATATTTTTTTAGAATTTTTTGGTAAGAGAATTAACTACTTACGTGGAATCTTTTTGTTAAATTTTCAATCCTTAGCTATAAAAACTGAACATTTTATAATTTATTAATTACGATGATTAATAATTTTCGAGATTTTGAAAAATTCTGTCAAAATTCGATGTTTAAATGCTTATAAAAAAAAATTGTGCCTATGTATTTTTAATATTTTTCAACTGATATTGTAACAATATATCAGGAGCCTTGTATTAAATGTTTACACTTTTTGGCCCAACAGATAAAACTTTATTGATATTCATAGAAAAAAAACTAAAAAAATTGAAAAATGAAAATATCCGTAAACAGCTCAAAAAGAATCAAAATATTTTCAAAATTGTATGGTGTATAGGAAATGCTAATATAAACATTCAGTGAAATTTTCATGTATCTATAGTTATTCGTTTATGAATAACAACCAAATAAGGAAATCGCTACATGAGAAATCGAGTGAACATCCAATGTTGTAAAAATTTGAATTTCAAACGCTCATAAAAATTTAATTTGACTGTCCGGTAGAGATTTTTTTATTGATAAAGGTAGACAAACTTATGAGTAATCTTGTATTACATTTTCAAATCTTAGATTTAAAAAGAAAAATTTTTACGAATTCTTAACTCAAAATAATTATATATTACTTTATTTGTCATATACCTACCTATTTCTTGTAATCTTCGCTGGCTTATCTCACCGACGACCGAGCGATCCCACATCCACTAATATTATATAATATATAATATTGTTGTGTGTGCGTGAGGCGACCCGACGACGGGTAATATTGTACTATTTATATTTTTTCTTCAAGGTGAAAATGTAGACTTAAATCAGACGGTAAATCTGTACGAAATGCTTGAATCGTGTTTAATGTCACTAAGGAATGAAGAACAATTTTCAACATTTGAAAGTAAAGCAAAGTCAATGTGTGGTTCTCAGCATTATAAAAAAAGATACTCAAAGAAAAAAGAAATTGAAGTTACCTTATGGTGAAAGTGAAAAAGAGCACACCGAGTTCAACAGACGTAAGTCATTTATAACAGATAGTTATTATAGCGCGATTGATACGCTTAAAAGTCACCTAGCAAGAAGAAAAGATGTTTATGTGCAGCTGAGGAATTCTTTCGGATTTTTATGGAACATGAATGAAGTGGAAAAATTTGACTTGAAAGAAAAAGCAAACAACTTGCTAAACATGTACCCTTCAGACTTGGACTTAACATTTCCCGAAGAATGTTTGTATCTTCAAACATTTTTACAAGAAAATGAAACATATTATGAAGAAACTAAAGTTCTAGGTGGAAAAAAGAAAATGGGATCTAAAGCCTCCAGACTTTTGAGCCATTTAAAATCCTTGAAGATAGAGTCACTATTTCCAAATGTTGAAGTGGCTCTAAGAATATATTTGAGTATGGCCGTCACGAATTGTAGCGGAGAAAGATCTTTTTCTGCTCTAGGGCGGGTGAAAAACTTTTTAAGATCCACTTTACGCCAGGATAAAATGAAGGCCCTTGCACTTTTGTTTATTGAAAGTGAATTCATGAACAATATTTCTTTCGATAAAATAGTAGAGTCTTTCGCAGCGTTAAAATCAAGGAAAAAACTTTTTAAAATGAATAATATTTAGTTCAATCATAAATTAAAATTTTTTAAATGCTTTTGTATATAATTTTATTAAATATAAAACACGTTTTATTTTAAACAAAAAGTCTGTTGTTTTTACGTTTTCTTAATCCTCGTTTTACCCTCCAACCACTCCGATCATTCATAGGGGCGCCAAATTAACCCTAGCCTACTGGTGACCAACTCCTTAATCAGGCCCTGGGCCGTACTGGGAATCCGAAAACCTTATTATAGGTCGCTCCACACTATGCATGTTTCGCGTTTCATGTTTTCACGTTTTCGTAGAATTTCGTGAATAGTGTGTATAGCTTTTTCACGAATTTTTTTTTTCGTGAAAACGGTTTCGTAGTGTTTCGCGAACGAGGCGGTAAAATTGACGAAATCAAAGGACACAAAAATATTTTTCGTACTGTTTCGTGTCGTTTCGTTGTATTTTGTTGTTTTTCGTGTAGTTTCGCGTTTCTCATGTAAACAGGAAGTTCATAATTATTATCACTACGAAACGTGAATCACGAAACGCGAAACATGCATAGTGTGTATACCTTTCTACGAAACACTACGAAACACTATGAAACGCGAAACGCAAAACGCGAAACGCGAAACATGCATAGTGTGGAGCGACCTATAGACTATAATATTATTGTGAATAAACCACTTGCCAGCTGCCGGAAAAAACAAATAACAACTGAAAACAGCTTTAATTTCAAAAATGAAATAATTAGAATACAATTATTACTATGACAGTATTATTATTTATTACCGTTAGTCAAAAATGAAGTAGGTAGGTAGTTGATAATAGTTAATAACCAATGGTAGGTATTATTTATTTTCATAATCGTATAAAATATTTGGATATTCAAATATTGGAGCAAAATAACTGGATTTTGAAGGGAAATTAAATGAAAAATTTGTGTCCATAAAAAAATGTACTTTATAGATATGAACTTTATTCATTTTCGTTCATTCAAGTTTTTCAACTTTAAACTGTCAGTTCGGAGATCTGCATAAGATTATACAGTTACTGCAGAGTGCAGTTTATAATATAATTAATATTTGATATTTGATAATACAGTTAGTATATTTCATATTTTATTTTTTTTTTAATATTATAATATTATATATTTTTATTATTTTGAACACTATTTAGGTAAAAACAAATAAAGAATAATAATAATGTAATATTACATTTAACTAGGATACCTGCCTGCCTAAATATTAAAGCCAATATTATAGTTTCAAAATTCTTGGTAAACTGGTCAAGTGTTAATAAATTGTAATATAATTCATAATTGCAGTACCTACACGGCGGTAATATTGCAGGTTAGTAATTTGTTACACGGTTAAGTAATTTCATTTAAAAAAAAACAAAAAGGCAATAAAAATTAACAACACAATACAATTAAAACATAATTTATTATATTGTGTATAAAAAAAAAAATATTGCACAAAATGTAAATAAACAAAATAGGTACTATGTGATTTCATACAATTAAATCGTTTTAAAAATTAAATTAGGTATAATGTAAATAAAAGCGGTAGGTACACAATAATAACGAAATCAAAATTATCAATAGTTTCTTAATTTCAACCTAATTTGATTATTTGAAATACAAAAAAAATGGCAAAAATATACTACATTTTAAACTTAGGAATAAAGGACGTTTTATAAATTATAATTTAGTAACTTTATCTTCACGAATAATTAATGAACAATCATCAGGCACCAGTATTAAAAATATTATCCATTACATTGTTAAATCATAATACATAAGTTTTAACAATTTATAAATTATAAGTAATATTTAAAAAGTATTCTGAAACTAGAAATAATTTAGAACATATCTTATTGCTTATTGAGTAACATAGTAAATTATGTCAAGTGTATAACATAAATAAACATCATAATACATAATAATACTATAATAGTATAATGATAGAGAAAGTTGAAAACGTTCTAAAATGCATGAATGAAAATGTGACATATTATTATTATAATATTATGTAGTGAGTTACCTAGTGTAGTTAAATTATTTCTATTGTACACCATTAGTATAAACATAAAAGTTGTAAAAAAATTATTCAATAGATCCGAAAAGAGAAACTTTCAAACAATAGCTGGTATTAATATTTTTTAATACGTTTTTGAACATTGTCGATTAGACAATTTTACGTTCATCATGACAATATCATATACGATTTGAACTTGTGTTCCATTGTTTTCTAATTCCAGATCTTTTAAACGTGTCGATTTGTGTAGATATAGTTACGCATTTAATATTTAAAAATGTGCTATAAATATTTATGTATTTAGAATCACAGCAATTAGACTAGAAAAATATTATTTAAATACAAATACAAATACAAATATTCATAAATACCTATTACAATGAAAATACAATATATTGCAGGTTTTTGATTATCATCATAATATTTACGACTATGAGTTGTGCTTACAACTATGCATATTTAATAATTACTTATGATTTTTTGCCAATTTAATAATCAAATAATCGACATAAATTAGAATAATTCTATACCTATTAATTATTAAAATCAAATATATTAATAATTGGTCATTTTTTTATCAACATTTGAAATTAAAATATTATTTTATGTTGCTTACGAAAGAAAAAATTTGACCAGACATTATGATGGCAATTAACTTGGCTAATTAGTAAATAATAAACTAAACGTTATTCAGTTAAAGATTACAAAAGACAAAAGTTAGTATTGAATGAAACATTTTTTTTTTATTATTGTTAGTATAGTGGAGCAGCTATGGTTAAACTATTTTTAATATAACATAATTTTGTGGTTGGAATTATAAATTTAAACAAACATTAATAATATTATGTTAAGGACGTTAAGGTACATTCATATAATTATATCACAAAGCTTACTCCTAATTAGCTTTCCATATTCTTTGCAATAGGTACATGTGTAATGTATAAAAAAATATTACTTAATAATTTTAGTATAGGTAATTACAATTTAATTATGAGAATTATGAATATACATACTACATCACTAAATAATACACAAACTAAAAAAAAAAATATATATAAAAGACATTAGTCAACATTAGTACTTTTATGTTATAAAAACCTTTCAGTAAATGCATTCAGTTGAACAGTAATTGCACAGAAAACCTCAAGCTACAGGTAAAAAATAGTTTTAATTAACTTCTAAAAATATTTGAACGATTCCTAAATATATTGAATGAATTTAATTTTGTACACATTTTAATTTAAAAATTTTGATTTCTATTGCTATACACAATTTTTTTTTATATAAAATGGCCAGTTTTTATTAGATATATTACAATTTAAAAATATGGGTAAATTAAACGTAGTAGGTATCAATATAATATAATAATAATAACAACAGATATAAAATATATAAGTATCAAATTTATATTAAAATTATTAATGTACTTAAATAGTTAGTACTGATGCTAGTGTATTATTACTTGATTATAATTTATACTTATATAGTACCTAAATTTGATTACATAATAAATATTATCATAAAAATGAAATATTATTTATTAGATTAAATTCTTTGGCAAATATGTTTGGTGACTTGGTGTAATATTAGCAAATACAAATAAAATTATTTTGTATTTTAGGAACATTGAAAATGTTGGCATCTCATAATTTTCAAATTATTATAATAATATTATAGTTTCGTTATGTTTATATACAATGTACATCATGGACATTAAGTTTTAATTTTACTCGTTGTGTATATAACTGGATAAATTAAACATTTTTAAAAAGGTATATAACATTATACCTGTACAAAATATATAAAATTTAGATGTTGTAGAACTACACATATACACTATGTCTTAAATTAAATTGATAGTTATGTTTCAATATCGGTACTTAAGTTTACTATAGTTATGGTGACCTGATACAGTAATCTAAGAACATATACATTTTAAATTTAAGCTCCTCTACCAAAAAAAAATGTTAAATTATAATATAACATATTATATTATATTATATTATATTATTATTATGTATCATATAATGACATAATGTCCAATGTAACTATAATAACAGTGCAGGTTAGCTTAAGTTAGTTCAGTCATAATATGATATATAATATAGTAATACTATTAAGGAGGAAAAACATTATGTGGTAGTGTGGTACCTACTAAATACTACCTACTACTGTTATTGTGTTCTAGACTTCTAATGTACTAATGTCTAATCTAGTAAAATGCATAAATGCATTAGGTCGAATCATGAAATATAAATTACGAAAAGTAATAATATTAGCGAGTGATATTTTTATGAGTACAATTTCCTATACCTATCGTTGTTGAATGTTGAGGACACCTGGACACTAGAATAATGCAATAAAAAAGAGCGTTTAGTCACCATAACTATTGTAAGCTGAACGGAAGAAAACATTTAAAATTATTTGGTTGAATTTTGGGTTTGCAACCAACAACAGTTTGGAACAGACGGACAGTTAAACATCAATGGTTCTTAAAAATATCATTAGATTATATTATATTCATCACAATAATATTATTTTGAAATTGGCGTATTTGAAATAATTTTCCAGTCTTCTTAACAAGATACGAATATACCCAGTCGATATTTAAGAAGACGCCACACAGATATTTGTTGTCTCCGTCTTACAAAGTGCATAACAATAGCACGTCCGAGAGAAAGCGTTCAACTCAGTTTAAAAATTAGAGTGAATGGTCGATTAGAGTGAATCGACCTATTATGAAACTTCATGGTAAGAACATTTACTGTATCTATGTGTGGGTTTTTACGATACCTAATTCAGTTTTTAAGTGAGTTCAATAAAGTTTAATTTACGTTATAGGTATTAAATAATAAATACGCATAACCTACTAAACAATTGAATATCGTAAAAACCCACACAATACACATATAATATATTATACAGTAAATGTGTAGTATATTATACAGTAAATGTTCTTACCATCAAGATTCATAATAGGTCGATTCACTCTAATTTTTAAATTAAAGGAGCTAAACGCGTTCTCCCGAGAGTCAATTTGCTATGTTACGCACTTGTAAGACGAAGACAACAAGTGGCCGTGTAGTGTCCTCTCAACAACATCGATTACAAATATAATGAATATTATAGGCACTATTTATTATTAGAGACTATTTCGAGTGAGTTTTAGTGGGTTCGAGTAAAACGAATGTTCCACACTCCCGTCCGATCATATATCGTGTCGTGATAGTTCAGCGGCAGGAATTGACCTGTTAGCTACAATATAGCATAGACGATAGATATATTATTAAATATTAATAATATATAAAAAAAGTCTATGCAATATAGTAACATCGAGTATAAAAATATTATGCCCAAAAATAGTACACACCAGCCATACGGGGCGAATCGAACACAAGCGTTCGCGTTTTTAAATCACGGACAATAATCGCCCAAAATAGTACACGATATTTAAACAGTGAATATAATATTATTAAAGAAGACGAGTCCGGTCGCAAGCACTCGCAATAAATCGCGGCTGTTTAATTTTTAGTTCGCAATTAGATCGCGAAAATTGTACCATAACATATTAGCAATTTACACGATACATTCACACGAAACGTTTACAACGCTCGTAAGAGGGTTTATTTCGAGAGAGAAATTGGTGAGAAACGCGTACCTACGTTCGAATCGTCACGTCCCCGTGTGTAACCACCAGTGTGACATAATATTATACATTTATAACCTAAGTAATTTGCGTTTAGTGCGTTTTACCCGATCCTGCCAAAACGCATAGTGTTTACATTTTACAATCTATGCTACCTAACAATAAAAAGACGTAATATTATAATGTCAAGTTTATCAAGATAATAATATGTTAAAACTACTATATTCAAGACTAGTTATGGTAATCCGTAATTACTAGTAATTAAAAGCAAATATAAGAAAGAACAAAATATGTTGTAATAAATATAAATTCAAACATATAGGTACGGATGTACCTACAACTCAATGGTACTATTGTAGATCTATGACATTAATAACGAAAAGTTCAGTAGGTAAGTTATAAATGTCAACATCTCGGCTTCAGCATTGCACATATTATTTCCAAACTTTTGATTCTAATGATTTAGAATTTTTAATATCATTCACCGGGTGTATTGCAGAAGACAAACAATTGTGTTTCGAATCATTAATTATTTCTTCGATATCTTCTTTCCTACAAAATAAATATAAAATATACAAATATATTAGTAAATATTTTAAATACACTATCGATGGAAGTAGGTATATATTACACACATTATACATATTAGAGGAGCGGAGTGATAAATGGAAAGAATACCCAGCGCAATAATTTATTTTATAGTATACCTACACTACAACTTAATCACCATCGTGCACGTGTAAATTTTAAATACGCTTAAAATTTAAAAAAAACTACAATTTTGACAAAATAAAACAATTTATATTTGATCTGTAATTTAATTTTTAAATTAATTATTAAGGTACCTAATATTATATTATTGAGCAAATTAAATATATTTTGGTATACATTTTTCGTATTATTTTGGTACTAATTCTTATACCGGCTTATTAGAAAAATACTTATACAAATGCTGAGAAAATATAAAGAAAATCTCCACTCCCCAAGAAAAATATCAAAAATGGTACCTAAATATAGTGAATAATTAATTTCATATCATATATATAGTATTCATATACAATTTATTGAAATTATATTTATATTCATTTAATATCATTAAATATTTAAGGATGTTTTGTTAAATACTTCTACCTTAATTCAAAGTGAAAATTCTGTAACTAGTTAGTAGTTACCAACGTTAAATAAATAATAGTAAATGTTTTGGTTAGTTTGTGTAATATAAAAGTGATAAATATGTATTTAAACATACAAATATATTTATAAATAGGTAGTACATATTATAAAAATGTAAATGGCAGCTGTTATTTAAAATATAAATTTTATAAAATAAAAGAATTGTTGTATTTTATGTATTCATATATTCTTTAAGAAAATTATACATATTTTATTGGCGGTACCTAGTCAGTAAGTAATTATTATTACCCTACTACAGGGTTTTTTTAATGATTTTTTCTGACTGCACAAACTTATTCCCACTATTGGGTTATAGTAGGGAATTTGTTTACGTAGACCAAACCCTACAGACTGTTATCCGTTGAACTGTCAGGGGTGGCTCCAAAACTGTATTTCTAAACAATTTTATACTGATAAAAACAAAATTACAAAAAAGAATCATCAACATTTTCTGAAAATTATGATTTAGTCGTCCCCTAATCATGTTTCTGGAGTCGCCCCTATGAACTGTGTCGGCTATACTACATACTACCTAGTAGGTACCTACTAACATACTGTCTACTGTATACTGTACTATCTACATTTTTTACTTTCACAAGACTTCATGTAGGTACTCAGAAACAGTATGTAAAAACATAAAAATCCAGATGCTATCATGATATACCAAATAAATCATTTTATATTAATGCACTATTTTTATTGTAAATTTGTAAATAATAAATTTATATTTTGTTTGTAAATATAAGTAATAATACTTACTAAGTAATATTTACTTGGAATAGGTAATTTGTAATAATAATTGTTTATACAAATAAAAACCATCAATTGACTAGGTACCTAATTTCTTTATAAATTTGGAATATACTTTTACATCAAAAAATAGTCGAAATGATAATTTTGACTGAATCAAAATTTGTCTAGACTACTACAACTTTCACAAAGAAAAATTGTTAGGATATATTTAAGTAAAAATACTATTTTTGGTTCAACTAAAGACAACTTTAAGTTATTAGATGTGTTACAATTGGAGTCTGTATATAAAAAAAATAACTATTGTATATATAATTAAAAACTTTGAAACTTTTTTGGATATGAAAAAGGTAATAATCAAAAGAGAAAATAGGGCATTTGATGTCAGAATAGAGTATTCTAGAAAAGCGCTTGGTCAAAAATTCATAGATTATCTAGGTCCATAAAAACTACAACTTAATGCCAGTAAACATAAAAAGGGACATATTTTATACAGAAGGGAATCGTATAAATATAGAAATTAAAAAAAAATTCAGATTTGGTTATTTTCAATACTTAAATAAATAATAAGGAATTCTATTTAACTGTTGTAATTTAATATTAGTTATAAGTATTCTAATAGTATAGATCGATTATTCAGGTCTTGTGCGCTTTTCTTATTTATAATTAAATTGTGCATAATATTATGTTATATAACTCTCTACCACCACCACAAGCATGTGCTTAAAGGTGGTAGATAGATTTTTTTTGTTTTTTTAAAAAAATAGTATACCTAATAATGAATAATATAAACAATTTTTAATTTTAAAAGAAAAAGTTTTTTTTTTATTTTGAAGTTTACTCAATTATTCTTTTATGATATACAATAAAATATATCATCCTGAAATTCTTTTTTTGCACTGCACAAAGTAACAATTTTCACTGCACAATTACTTTTCTCACTCCACAAAATGTGTCTCACTGCACACTAAAAAAAACCCTGCCCTACTAATTATAGTGCATATTCATAATATTATATACCAAATACCAATAGATATAATATGACAATTAAGCCTTTAAGGTTTAATAGTTGTAATAGTTTTGTTGAGTTTATGTACTTGTAATGTTAAATATAGAATAAAATAAAACATTTTAGGGCCCCCGAAATGTATTTCTAACCTAGAAACTTATTGCAACCCTAACAATTTAGCCCAATTTACGCCACTGTATGAACATTTAGTGAAAATGTAAAGTCTCTCAGAGTTATTTCTTCATAATTACAATGAATAACAGAAAAGACTAACATTTAGAAAAAATATTCTCGTTTTTTTGGTGTTATTTGAAAACAAAAAAATATTTTGCTCCAAAACGCTATAATACAACATTTAACAACAACAATAAAAAAGTGGACAAGTGTGGTACTGCTCTGCTGTAAATTATGTGTCGTGTGGCCGTATGGGTCAATTTAATGGATGTGTTAAATTTTAAATCAATGATATAAAATCAATGTATACAAAAACAATGCTAAATGAAGACAGTGTCAGCCAAATTTGAACTTAAAATATCTATAAAAAAAACTGTGGTCGTATATTTTTTGGCTACAGAATGAACTAAAAATAGTATAAACAGTATGAAGTAAAAATTATTGTGAATTTCGACCTCTAAAATGCTCCAACTACATTCACTTTTCCACCAGAAAAGATACTAAAGTTAAAAATCAAAGTACTAATTCAACTACTTATCGTGTAAAGTGTACACATACACAAAAAAAAACATGGTAAAATCAATACATTCATCAATCCGCTCAGTAAGTATCTAAAAACAAATAACAAAACTATAAGCACATTGTATAAAATGATAGACTTGTACGACTTTTATAACTTTACCAAAAAGAAATAAATAAAGACTTTAAAATAATGACTGTTTGTGCTGTTAAATAAATTAACTGTATTGTACACATAAAAAAATTAATTATTAATTATTATAAAAATTTAAAAATTACCCGGCGTGCGTGAGAAATAAATTAAACAATTTATGTGGCAAACAATTTTTTGTAGTTTCTGGGGTCAAATACATTACAGTATCATAGTTGTATTTCAATAAAAAGCTTTCCAATAATTGAAGTATTTCCATTGCTTTTTTGTTTGACAATGAAGATTTAGAAACCTATAAAATATATAAATGTACATTATATAATTTATATTTCATATACATAAACTTAGAATTATTTTTCATATATTTTTTATATTTATTAATCAATTTATGAAAAATTAGTAATTTAGATTATATTGACTAAGTGATGGAAAATCACAAAAATATTAGAAATAAATAATAATAATATTTACGTAATTTGCAGAGGCATTTGTAATTTGTATAAATTTTACATATTGTATAATTTAAGTTATAAAAGGAAAACTTACCACATTTTCATTTAAAATGTAAAAGATGTATACATCTATACAGTGCTTAAATTGGAAACATAAGAGAGGATGTCTTAAGAGAGTTAGAATTACTTAAAATTATTGACTCAATCTACCTTTTGGCCACCAAACCCCATTAATCCATTAATCTTTAAACAAATTATTACAATATATGAGTATGCCAGTAACAACTAGGTACTTATGACTGATTAAAATAAATATTTTTGAACAATAAAAATTAAATTAATTTACATTAAAAATAATTTTAATAAGTCAAATGTATATTGATTTACATTTCTTAGAGGTTATGCACTATCATAGTAATAATAAGTTGTAGAATTCATTAAATTCAATTTGAGTACCTTATTCAATACAATTTTATGAAATAAAATTACAAAAACAAAGAAAGTACATATTATTTTGATCAAAAAGAATGTACCCCATCGGTCATTGCCCACTCTAATAAAAATTATCAGTATGGTTTGAGGACTGTATGTATGTATAAACATACAACTTGTATAGAATAATGTTACACGTAAAACAATCTTACAAGTTGTAACCAATGTAACGCAAAATATTAAATTAATAGCTTCATATAACTACTGTAGTGGTACATATTGTTATATTAGTAGTTTTATCCAGAAGCAATTGTAACTGTAAGTGTAGGTAACAAGTGTTAATCACTTAATGTATTAATATGTTATTGTTATAACTTGTAATTAGAGCGCGGATTTGTATGCAATTGTATATTTTTTTATTTTCATATGTTTGGATATTCATCAGTAGTCTTTATGAATCATGCAGCAAATTTTATTTTTTGCATATTACTGCATATTTAATGGTTACTACATATTTGTACATATTTTGACTAAGTACAATGTACAAAATTGTCTGCATATTAAAGTTAACTTTTTTTAGAAAAAAGGTATAAAATAATATTTTGTCAAGAAGAAAATTCAAAAATAAATTGTATAGGCACTAAATAGTAATTTAAACAAAGATAAGTTCATTAAATAGTTACCTAATTATAAGTTATTTAATTTGTATAAATTATTTTGATACCTCCTCAATTTAAAAACTAATAATAATTAGAAAATAAAATAAATGTTTTACACTTTTTTACCATATTACTCAACTAAAATTTTTCTATCTTACATAATAATATATTCAGTATAACTTCACGATTTTGACTGCATATTATGTGTTATATTTTGATACTTTTTAGTGCATACAAATCTGGGCTCTACTTATCAAAAAATAAACATACAATTTTACATACATGTTAATACATTTTGTTTACAATCAAAACATAACTTTATGATTTTACATTTAAAAAATGAATGTCTTTACTTCTTATAGGTAATGAAAATAGGTAACATCAGTTTTAGCAGGATTGGCATTATTTTAAGGACTTTATATTTTTACATATTTCCCAATATATTTGAACTTTGAAGAAATAAAATAGTAATATTATAAATGTTTTGAAACAAAGCGATTAATAAATAACAATCAACTAAAAAAATGAATACTTTGGGTTATGTATGACATTATATTATCAACAACAGTTATGATTTATGAAATTGAGTGGTACTCCAATTAAAATAATTTTAAATACTATAAGCTAATACCACAGATTATATTAAATTATATAACTATATATAATTATTATTTATATAGTTTTATAGTTTTATATGAACTGTGCTAATACATTATAATTTATAACACATTTAATATGTTGTTATAAAATTCCAATGTTGTACTACATAAACATTTTTCAAATATTTTGATAAGCAATAATTACATGTAGGCCATCTACAAATTATACAAATATTATTAAAGACACTATAATCTTTTTAATTATGTGTAATGACTAATGACTGATGAGTAATGACAATATAAATTAAAATGTTCACATTTAAAACTAAATTATGCATACAAAATATAATATTCAGATAATAGATACCTGAATTGCTATAAAGAATTATTGGTAGGTATAGAACATACTAAGCACTAATAATCATCACACAACATCATCATTCAACAATACTCATTATTTAAATGAACCAATAATTTTTAAGAACCTCTAGTTTAAAAATACATAATAATAATTTATGAAACACATCATTTTATTTACTATACTAAATAACTAACCTCAATTTTTAAAGGAACACTGAGGTTTTTTGAAGCTTTTATTAAAAACATCAAAACAAGATTACTTGATGGACTGTCAAAATTTTTCTCCAAAGCACATTTTTTTAATAAAGCGGAAATGTAAGTCAAGTATAGAGCAAAGGTTTGCCGAGCCTGTAGATTACTGAAATATAAGCAAAGAAAGGTAGACAATATGGTAATAACTAATATGAAATTGAATAATATACAATATACACATGGGTTAACAAGTTTAGTGTTATTGCAGGAATATATTAAGAAAAGCATATTTAACCAGAGTGATCATTTTTAAGCATCATAATAAAACATCAGTTATTTTAGATTTAGATCATATATTTACTATATTATACATATAATATAGTACCTACAGTAAACTTTACACTTACTATTATACTTAATATATAGTTTAAAAATAATTATCCCATATTTTTTATTTAAAATGTCAGCATAGACTATGTTTTTTTAAATGTTGTTAAAAATAGTATATAACACTGAATAACATACATATATAATTTTTTCTTTAAATAAATAAGTGCATTAATACATTAGATACAGACTGATTCTCTTCACACATTATCTTAAATTTACATAATTTTAAATAATTACAATGTAACATTTTTGAAAAATTTGTATTTTTACAATTTTTAAACAATATAGTATTTAATTGTTAAATATTTATTATTTATAATTTATATCATAGTATAAGGAATAAGAAGCATGCTCAATGATAAGACTGCGTGTATTTTTTTAAGGGGCAATGTATAATTTATATATGCAACCAACAATAAAATCAAGTTGACGTCACGCTTATACATTCAATCTTATGCAATGCAGTATGGACATAAACACAAGGTGATGCACATGCGCAAACTAGGGCAAAAATATGGTTCGTGTTGAGCATACTTCTTACTTCTTGTACTATGATTTATATTACATATAGGTACTTAAAAGGAATCGGATTTATATGCAGTTAAAAATCAATAAATATGCTTTTAAAAATATGATATGATAATGACTTATTATCTTAATATATATAAGAGACAATAGACAAAAAATGTTTGTAACAGACTACCCCTGTCCTTTATGCATTCCTAAACCGTTCATTCGATTGCGATGAAATTTGGTATAAAGATAGATTAGACCTAGGGGAAGAAAATAGGTTACATGTTGTCATGAAAAAAGGTAAATAATAGGTCCATCCTAGAGAAGTTCTTAAACAGGGATTTTGAGATTATTATTATTTTTATTATTTTATGTTTATAAATGGTTGCTATTGGTTTTATTTAGTTTTAACAATAATTATTATTATTAATGTGAAAAGCCTGTGTATTTTAGTACAGATTGAGTTCAAACAATGGTTTCAGTTGACTAATTTTTTGCACTTTTTGATAATTTAAAGTTAAATTATACACTTACGTACGCACCATGCGGGGTCTGCACACGCGTAGGTAGATAATAATATGTAAATATAATAAAAACTAATAAGTATATAGACTTATAGACAAAAAATGTACCTAATCTATTATCATGAAATGATCACTCTCTGTGTATAAAATTATATTACACAATTAAATATGGTTAATAAGTAGCATACAATAATTAATAGTTAATTCATTAGTATGACAAGTGCATGTTCAAGTATAATCTATACAATTTGTACAACAATATGTTTTATTTAAATATTTACCTGAATACATATCCATCGTTTAAATATTTTACAATTGTTTTTTTCAACTTTGACATATCAGTTGTTTGATCCGCATCTTTATTATCTGAAATATTAATGTTATTTTAATTTACTTCATTTATTCTCTTGTAAGTGATATTATAGTTAATTGCATATTGTTATAACCATTTAAGCTCCGCTTAAAATCTTTTAAGGACCTTTCATAGCGATCTTGTCTGCTAATATCCATATAAAATGAGGAATTTTCGCTGAATAAATGGTCGTTTAAAAAATAATTATAATTCCTTATTAGTTTTACATAAAACGGTGGTATAGTAGATCCCCTAGGAATTCCATTGATATTATCTGCAAATAAAACATTTAAATTTATTAATTATTGGAATGGCATTTATTTTAATTAAAATATAAAATTTGTACCCAAGTAAGAGGAATACTTTTTCCATGATAGGTATGTAGGAAAAATCCGTATGAACCCTCTGCTCCTTTGATTTTGATCCATCGTATTTTTCAATAATCTTTTTTCATCACTACTGAGATTATTAATATTTATATTTGAATTTCTGTTCCTCGGAATATCAGATTTTGGTCTTCGAACATTTCTACAAAAATCATCAATATTTTACATAAATGTCTATAAATAAAAACCAACCAAGGTATTTAAATATTACCTGTTAAAGTTGAAAACAGTAGGGTCAACAATTGGGATGCCAATCAAAGTAAATAAATCGCATAGCATTGAACTCTTAATGCGAGAATCAAGTCCAGAATCTATCCCTAATGATGGAGATAGGTTAACTTCAAGCAGCCATGGTTTTAACTTATCGTCCACCAAAATATCAAACCCGTATAGTTCTACAATAATATTGGATGGCCATATATAAAAAGGCATTATAAATAGTTAGTTGACTACTATGTAAAATAGGTAATCTACATAAAAGAGTATAGACTAAATTAATTTCAGTCAATAATTTTTTTGAGCAACGACACAGAGTATCTTGCATTCTCACAATGACATCATGACCATGTTGTCCTTGCACATAAACAAAACCCATAAACAAATCCCCATCAAACTTTCTTTCACTTACACTTTATGTAAAATTATTTTTTTAATATAATACTATAAAATAGGCCACAATAAATACAGTCAATGTGACAAATGGAGGGATTCGCCTCTGCAGTCTGCATGTAGGTACATACGGCAATCAGTAAACAACTCGGACTTCAATGAGTTTGTGATTCATAGACTTGTTTTTAGTCCCTTCAAATGTTAGCCAGTTCTCGAATCTAATAACTAGTTTTATTAACTAAAAAAAAAATAATTACCAAAACAATTTTGATTGTGAGGTACAAAGCAATTGATCGCTGGTAACATTTGTGCAGTTGCACTCATTATTGTTTTAACTACAATGTCTTCAATTTCAGCCATCAAAGTTTCTGTATTAATAAGGTACTCTTCTCTAAGATGGTTCAAAAGAGCGCTCATGGACCACTTATGGCCTACATTTTCTCGTTCAGGATCCGAATTTCTAAACCATAATAGTAATGATATATTATTAAAACGATGACATAATAATATTGTAATGTGATTCTATTAAATATAAACAGTACTATCGAGTTCGAACCGCACGGTTTCTGCGGATCAATTTTTTGCTTACTTAAGAGTTAAATTATACACTTACGTACGCACCACGCGCCCGTACAATCTACCTACCGCAGGTAGGTAGATTGCCTTGTAATATATTGCTCGCATAATCACAAGCGAAATTATATCATTTACACTTAAAAGGACAACAGCATGTTACACCCAAAAGGATTTCAACAATCACAAAAACCAAACAATAGCAAAGCATTGCAGTATCAGCTAGTAGTTAATATTAAATGGAATTTACTTATTAGTTACTATGGAATTTCTAGAGTAAAATATAGAATGTAATCGAGTCGAAAGTTTTTTTTTAATTTACCTATTTATTTTAAAATAAGTTAAAGGAATTTGAAAAAAATAATTATTTAAGTAAGTATACAATAACTTATAAGTTTATAAGTATATAAGTTAAAACGGTCTAATATTGACTATGAATTAAGTATAAACTGTAGTAAGAATTCGGTACGTAGATTTTTCTATCAACACACCACCCTTGACGGTTAAACATCATGTATTTATTAAAAACCGAGGAAACAATGGAATCGTAGAAACGTAAATCGCTGTTATGACTTATGGCGAATATTCGTCAATAGTCGAGCTATATGTTATGAGAGGTATCTAATCGCAGAGCATAAAAAATTTTTTTTTTACTCGCCAAGTCATTCGAAGTTTCGCATAGGTCGTCGTTAAAAGTAGTACGAGTCAAAGAAATTAAACGAAGTAAACGAGTGGCGTAGGAAAGACATAATCGTTAAGTCAGAATACGCTTCACGCGATTATGATTGATGATGATCGACAGAGCATAATATCATAAGGAATATGAAGTATACAGTATACTAAATGATAAGACTGAGTATATTTTTTAAGGGGCAATGTATAATTTGTATATGCAACCAACAATAAACACAAGGTGACGTCACGCTTATACATTTATTGCAATGCAGTATGCACAAGAACACAAGGCGATGAACATGCACGAACCAGGACGAAAATACTGTTCGTGTTGAACATACTTCCTATTTCTTATACTATGCGCCGGAATAGTGGCTTAAGGCTCCCCCCCCACACAATGCAGCTGAGGAGGTAGCGGTAAAAAAAAATTAGTCCGGACACAATTTACCGCCACCGCTGCAGTGTATGTGGTCGTGGAGACTTTTACGCGTGTGACAGAGACACATACTGATACGGCGTTCTCTTAACAACAACACATAAATTAATTATATAGTTTAGACTTTAGAATTAAAATTTAAAAATATAATAATGCTCAAGATAAAATATAATACGGTGCATCATAGAAAATGACATACCTAATATAGCTCGGGCTGCTTTTGTTGACACTGTAGTTGCAAAGATGCATTCGTCGATTATTAATACGACTTCTATCACATACATATTTAACAGTGGCAAATCTAACCAAACCTTCTTCGTACAGGTACACAACAAGTGGATTGAATGATGTAACTAATACGTACAAACGTAAATCCCACTTATATCCATTCACCAACAGAGGATTGTCAATATACTTAGCAACAACGACATTTTCTTTCAAAGCCGATTGAGTGTCCTTAAATGACTGCGAATAATATCGAAATAATAATATTTTTTAAGTGTGTAATAATATAACTATAACAGTATACTGCTTTTAGAAATTACATAATCAATAATTGTTATTCCTCTTCCGCGAGATAAATCGAAAGGCTTTACAATCCATAAACCTCGATGTCGGTATTGATTCGAAATAAATCTATTGTAATCTTTCGGCATGATATATGTTTCAGGAACAAAAGAGAACTTTTTTATTCCATTGCGATGGCTCATAGTTTCGATGTTTTTGTACAGTTTATCTTTACGAGTCAATTCACATGATCTAAAAAAAAAAATGTTAGAATTATAATTATGATTTTATTATTATTATTAATTTAGTACATAGTATGAGATTTAAATTTGTGTATAATATACTATAATATAATTTTGATTTATTCAATTTATTATAAGTAAACCAAATTTTATCGTTTTATTGTACGAATATATAAGTATTAAGTAACATCTTGTTTTGCGGGATATCATGGACATTAGACACGTATTATTATAATTCAATACATAATGACATGAACTAATATTATTTTTGTTGTATTACCTATTAATTGTTGTTATACTATGCACTATAAGCACTGTGCAGTATGCAGTCATTTTGAAAACAAGCTCGGCAGCTATAATAACTATAGACCGGTCAAAGTGCCAAACCGTGACGGAACAATATTGTCGCCAGTGATATTTATATGAAATACAAGGGTGAATAATATATTGTATTATAATATATTATACTTAATACAAGTTGTGAAGGTTGTATAATATCGGGAAATAAAAAAATAACCGTTGGAGTCGCTGGACTGATGCCTGATTAAATAAATTAAATTATAAAACTGGTATTTTGTATTTACTTTAAATAACCATTATGATTACTGTGAAATAATTAAAAAAAGTTTTGAATTTTAAAATTTTAAAATACCTAATAAATTTACAAAATTATTGTTATAAAATAATAATTATTATTATTAGATATAGAATATAGATATATAGATATTAGATAATTATATTGTGTAGTATATTATAGTCTTATAGGTACTATACAGTATACAGTTATACAATAAACATTTATAATTTAAAAATGTATTAACGTTTTTGAATATATTTTTTAACTTATACATAAAAGTTTCAAATTCCCACGAAAAATATTTTTGAATTACCTACAACAAATAACTAACATCGTTCTTCTTCGTTTAAATATCAAAATTCGTCCAAACTTTAACTTATAATAAAAAAACGTACTAATGGGTACATAATAAAAACGAACTAGTATATTTTTAAGATTTGTTGGTTAAAGTATATAGGTAAACTATTTATGAGAATAGTAGTATTATATTTTCAAGTCTTCAAAATTGTTCATTTTATAAATTATTAACTACAAAATAATTATTTGAGAATTTTCCCAATTTTAGCAAATTTGGCCTAAAAAAATATTATTACTATATATTTTTGATATTTATTAATAAGTAATAACTAATACGGGCAGGTAATGGCTCGGATACGGAATAATGGGACATAATATGATCAAATAATCAATTCTGATATCCGTATGCATGAAATAAATATTTCTACAAAACCAATCTAACTTTTAAATAAATGGATTTTAAATTATTTCGTTTTGCGTTATTTTTCGTTCAATGAAATTCTGTGGATTACGTTTTGCGATATTATTCGTGATATTCTATAAATTACGTTTTGCGTTATGTTTTGTTTAATGATATATAATATTTTTTGTAATCGTTATGTTTTGTTTTGAGGTTATTAATTATTTTTAATTATCGATTTCCGTTACAATTACGTCTTTACGTTTACAAATTTCAATCGTTCTTGTCAAATATAACATTATCATCATAATGTTATTTTAACGTTTGCAAGCCCTGCTCTGAATAGTACCAAATGGAACCAATTTTCAAACAGAAACGAGAAACCAACCACAAAGTTGAAAATCAATGTTTACTTTTCGTGTGCACATATAAACAAAAATGTTAATAAATTTATCACTCCGTTCTGTATGTAAATTATGGTAGTAATAATTAATAAATATAAATCCGTGATGAATTAAAATTATGTTAATAAATATTTTCAAAAACGTTAATACATGTCAAGATAATGAGTGTTTACTGTTGAAATAGTTGTTCAGTATAGCATATACACCATAATATGGCTAGCGCTGTTTAATGTTCACAGAGAAGTACAACATATCAGTTGAAAATATAATTAGTAGATTTGAATCGATGAAGAAAAGAAATATAGTTTTTGTATTGTAGACTAATTTAAATTTGTATATGTTAATTAACTATTAAATTTTTTTTATATAACTATTTATTTTACATTTTAATCTTCATCCCTACCTATTACATATTTTTTCCTCTGTAGGTTAAATAGTAGTATAATTTTTGGACCCAATGGATATTGGCCCCCTCCCCCTAGAAGACGAATCAAATCTACCACTGCACCATATTATGGTATTATTGTATATTAATATGATTTATGACAATATCCTAATGACCTAATCATAATATTATTTTTGCCTTAATATGACGATAGAATAATTGTTTTATATAAACACTAATTGTTAAATAATTAAACACATTATGTATAATATAGAACATACAATATATTATAATATAGGTACAACAAACAGTAATATTAACTTGTTTTAAATTGAAATTGACATAAGGTCACTAAGTACTTAAGGAAGCAGTTATTCACTTGTTATAGTTCTAGTTCTGTTTCAATATTATTTTACGAAGGTGAACCATTTTTCTGATAATTTAATTATGTAACATAAATACTTACAAACTCGACTACTCTTATAAAATCGAAAATATTCTCTAAATTTAATTTTATATTTAAATTTAATTTGTTCTCTTTATAAAATATAATTTAACTATTAATGCCTATTATCCAGTAAAATAAATAATTACCTAGGGAAGTGATTGATGCGTTGATAAGACCTCAATGAACTAATGATTTTTGTATTAACATGGTTATTTGACCATAATAAATTAAAATCATTTGAATCAGAATTGACCTGTAATAATACAAAAATAATGTATAAATAAATATATGTTCTAAAATATTTAAAATTTTTCAATTTTTTATTATTCATAATTTTGATACTGTACAACTTTGTGAGTATAGGGTAATAAGTAATAACTAATAACTAATAAAGTAATAATTATTGATTATATTATAGTAACGCTTTATATTCTTATCCAAAATGTTAATTAAAAAAATCAATGGCAATAAACTAATAACTAATGAATAGGTAGAGGACAGTCACAAAAATATCAGTGTAAGAAACAAATAAGTTTTATGTTTAGACGGACCTATAGAATTTAATTTTGCAAATGTTGTGATTTTTAATGCTACAACCGCGAACTGCCTACAATTCTTATACTCTAGTTATCATTATTTTAATAGTATGTATATTTTTATAAGTACTATTATAAATTATAACGTATCACAGGATACTACAATTTAATAATTTTTAACATTCGCGTCATTTGGACCACACAATGTATACATAACTTGAATAATGGATATGTTACAGTCACGAATTAAAATATACTGGATACCCAACGATACATGATAAGACGCTCCTAAACTGACTTTCAATGTGCAAAGGTGCACTAGCGCTCCAACGGAATTAAATGTATACTAATGGATTGACTATTTAAAATTTAAAATATTATATTATTATTATGCATAAAGTATAAATAACAAATAATATGATGATTTTTTCGAATGATTAATTTAAAACATTCAAGCATTTCCTTATTACTGACTACTGTAGTCTGCAATATAATAATTAATAGGTACCATTCTAATTTCTAATTATTCAATATTCTACTATGACAAAATAGATTAATAAAGTGTTAAGTGGAAGGTAAGTAGTATTAACTAATAGCATAGAATAATAGGTACCTAGTAAAAGAAAAATACACATTTAATTATTTAATGAATATCAATTACATCTTTTTTATTACATAGTACATATAATTTTACATATTTATTAACATAGATACCCAATACAAATTGCATAAAATACTTACAAAATTATTAATTACATACCTATACAGTTGAAACTTCAATTAAATTAGTCAACAAATCATGTTTTAACTAATTTGGATAATTTTTTTTTGTTTTACTTTGTTTTTTATGAGTTTTGATTCATCAAGTAAGAATACTGCTTCATTCTCATAGTTTTATAATATGAAAAAATATTTGTTAATATATCAGCTTGATGTTCTAAGCAACTAGCAAGGAAACTTTAAACCAATATTCAAGCTAAAAAAGTCATTATATGTATCTTCAAACACATCACAAGAAGTGGCATGTTTTGAAAAACATGTTTCAAGATGTTTTAGTATTAAGTATAAATTTCGATCTGGATGAGTTAGGTATCCTCTAGTTTTATTATTAAGTAAATCAGCTTCACTACCGACAGTTGAAGTATTTAAATTTTTTATACTTACTATACATAACTGGCACTTAGTACTCTTTACCAATCGTTTAGCAATGTACCTATTTGAAGTAGGTAAATAAGGTAAATAATAGTGTTATTTAATTAATGCTATTACCTAATTCATAAAATATTTTACCCAGCCATAAAATAAACAACACAGTCAAAAACTGTAGTCTGCGTAATCATGCTCCAACAAAAAAATATTTTGAATTAATGAAAAATGGCCAAAATGGGAAATCTATTACAGTTATAAACACGAATTAAGATAAACATCTATTTTAATTCTTGGTTCTAAACAATGTCCAATGATAGTAATTAACATGACGAATTGACGAATCTATATTGTCATGGTAATTTATTTAATTCCAAATATTTACAAATTTGGCGGTAAATTATTTTGTAAAAGTTGCCACAAATATGATAACAAGCGCTAGGTGTAGTTTGCAACAGCTGTTCTGACAAGTCAGTTTGGGTCCAAGAAAAATAGTTGTTCATATAGGTCGTTGGGTATCCAGTATATTTTAATTCGTGGTTACAGTAAATGATGTTAAACATCAAAATAACGTTATTTTCTAGTAAATAACAATAATTACCTAATTAGCTAGAGATTATCGTGGTTTATTATTTTTTTGGTTTGATTATCTAGACACGCGGTAGCGTGTCAAGCCAAGTTCTAGCTAACAGAACTGGCGAGCAGCACCGTGTGTAATATTACACGAACCATTTGGAGCCACTTTTGACCCCCTCATAACTCAAAAACTATTCCACATAAACATGTCAAATTTGGCTCATATATTGAGACTAACGAGATACATATGTGCTCTAAATTTCATAAACACACTTCAAACCGTTATTTAGATACAAATGTATTAACGTCCGAACATCGTCATTTTTATCACTGACTTACTTATAGATCAAAATTCTAACCCAGTTCCAGATAACAACGTTATTTCTGATTTAGTTTAAAAAAAAGTAGTGATAATAACTCCTTTCTAACTGTTGATGAGTACAATATTCGTATTGAACAATTAAAGCATTCAAAATTTGTGTTGAAAACACCAGGAGAAAAAAAGTCTATGAAAGATTATCGAATGGTACGTAAATATGATATTTTAACAATAAATAATAAAGGGCGTCTTATTAAACCTGTACACGATGATACTACATTACATTCAGGTATGAATATCATTTTGTATTACATATTAAATATTAAATATTGTTTAATAATGTTTTTTCTATCAAATTCAATATTAAAGGAAGGTCTCCTTACGAAGCAATGTTTGGGTGCAAAGCAAGAGTTGGATTAGCATCAGTAGGCATTCCAGTAAACGAACTTTGTAATTTAAGTATGGAAGAAGATATTGAAAAAATAATGCTACAGCCCGAAAATAATGAGGATAATGAGATCAGGGACGAGAACAGTGAAAATAATGAAATCGGAGACGAGAAATGTCTTGGTTTGTTAATTTTTTTAAATTATAAATTTAAAAATTAATTTAAATTAATTAAACTAATTAAAAATTCTAAATAATGCAAAATAAAACTCTTTATTGCTCGTTTGAAAAAAAAATAAATTCGAGTTATAAATAATAATTATAAATTTTACTTCACCCGAAACCTGCATTTCGGTCATTTTATAATTATTTTAAATAGGTATTACGTTTTATTTCAGTCAACAGACATCAAGAAAATATTACAAATGAAAGAAATAATTCAATTCAATGTTTAAAAAAGCAAGCAGAAAGGATGACGACACAATCAAATAAAAAATATCAAGAGTTGGAAGTCGGAACAACTGTTCGTATTTCCATTCTTGACGTTGATAGAGCCCGTGGATCCCCACGCAATTCATTAGCAGTTATTGCTAATGTTGACAACGGCTTTTATAAATTATGTAAGTAATATAAAATAAAAAATTTAAATTTATAGGTATTTATGTATTTATATTTGAATTAGGTACCGAAAATGGTTTTCTTAAACACAAGTATACGAGATCTCAACTTGTGCCATGCAAAGAAATGTTGCTTGATCTCAAAACTCTGGTTGAATCATCTAAAGAAAAAGAGATAACACTTCGAGAAGCAGCAGGATGTAGTAGTCTTATGGGCACACAAGGCTATCAAAGATGTAACTGTAAAATGAAGTGTAAAACAAATAAATGCACCTGTCGATTAGTAGGAAATTATGCAATTCAAAATGTCACAGTTCATTGTCATGTGAAAATAAATAATAATATAACAATTTAAATACAAATAACATGATTAATTAATATTGTTTGGAATTAACGTAAATCTTTAGTTATTAACGTTATAAGCCTTGTAAAATATTTATTATTATCTATTAACGTTAATTGCTAGTTAATAACGTAAATATTAATTTAACATCTTTTACTGTAACAGATACATTCTAGACAGGGTTTGTGGCCTGCAAAAAGATATTGACTAGTGGGGCAATTAGAATTATGAAAACATATTTAAATCGGCCGAAGTCTTCGTAAGATTAACTTCTATTTAAGAATTTTGATTTTAGTTTGTATTAAAATCCTTTAAATTGTATAGGAAATTAATTAAAAAAATATATATTGAAAAATGTTAGATACATTTTTGGAGAACTTTTTAACAAAATAATGTACAAATTAATAACGCTAAACACTGTATGTTACTTTTTTTTTATAGGTGTTGTATGTTACAGTGTTACACACTTACACACCTATACAATTTCACATTTGTGTACACATAAATAATAAGTATAATGGTATACCTAATTATGCATTATATACCATACTTAGATTAGACATATAGGTACTATGACAGTATGACTAATTCAGTAAATACGTATTTCACACCGTATTCTATTTTAATAAACATTAATGATTTCAGTTCTGAAACCGGTAAAACGACCAAGTGAAACACTCAGAGAATAATATTACCAATGAACATAATATTATTATAGAAGACAAAATTATTACGCATTATTATATCATATTGATACAATACTTTACTTACGAGCTACGACAAGCAAACAATAAACCAAAAGTACTAAATAATATAAAATAGCAATACATAATATGTAATATAAACAATGTTAAAATTCAGAATGAGTTTCAAATTTTAAATAGAGTAGGTTATAAATTGAAAAAGCTATGTTTCCAGGTCCATGTATGATGTGTATATTATTATAATATTATAATTTATCTTATTTCTCCGTTTTCGAGACTGTATTCGTTTGTTGAAAGACATGTAACATATTATATTATCACTTATCCACAGATCGGCTCATTTTAAGCATTTATTTAAATTAAGAGAAATATTGTTTTGTTTCACGTTTAATATAATTGAGTTTAAATTGGATTTGTTAGAACTTTCAACTTTGTATTAGAGATATTTGAATAGATTGATTGTTTTGTTATTTTTATATATCAATTTATCTGAAGTAAAATAAAATTACGATTGGCTCGGAACGATATTATTTAATATTGCTAACTACATAATATAATACTGTTCAATTTGTTAGGTATTTGTTACGTGCAACGTACTTTTTATGGAGTAGTGGTAATACGTACAACAATCATGAACTTGAATTAAACATAGGTTCAACTGACATTAGTATTAGTCAATAAGGTGGTCCCGTGAATATGTCTGTGCGTCGAATTCGTAAATAACTCGGTAGTTTCTTTTAATTTGTTCGAAGTCAGGAAGATTAATAAAATCAGTTATTGTATTGTTAAATCAGAATCATTACATGACGGTGATTTCATTAGTAAGTGAATATTATATTATATACAATTAAAAAAAAAAATTATTTTAAATTATAATAACTATTATTATTATTACTCACTCCAAATACAAATAATTACAACTTATTATTTATTAGTTTTAATAATGAATACCAGGCTTATACACATTATACATTTTATAAATGCGATGCACAAAAGTAATAACATT